TTTGGAAACAGAAGTAGCTATGTAGCACTTATTTGTATGGTCATTGCTATGTACTCCAGGCTAGCCTTAAGCATATGATAACCTTGCCTCTGATTCATTAGTGTTAGGATTGCAGGCATGCACCACTGCACCTGGCTTTATCTATATTTCCTTCCTTCCTTCCTTCCTTCCTTCCTTCCTTCCTTCCTTCCTTCCTTCCTTCCTTCCTTCCTTCTTTCTTCCTCGATATCCATTATCACATTGTAGAACTATCTGTAACATCTAGCTTGTTGTCATGGTTTTCAGAAGCTTATAAGACCTCACTGCTGCTTCTCATGGAGCAGGGTTTCTTGTAGCCCAGGATGCCCTTGATGTTACTGTTCACTTCCCTAGCCTTCTGATTGTGGTCATCACATGTGTACTTCCACACCCTGTGTATGATAACATCTGGTTGAAATTCTTCTTTGGCATTTGTGAAATGAACAATACTTTTTAGTTCCTTTTTAATAATATAATTTTTAAATATGCATATTTTTTAAAGTTTTGAGGAGTCACAGATAAATATATATCCTGAAGCTAAAATACATTTGTAAAACACCTTCTGGAAGGTAGGTTATTTCAGTAGTATTGCTTTGAACAGTTTATTGCTGCGTAAGTAACAGAGGTTAAATAAAGGGTAATAGAAGGATTGTAGAAGCATCTGTTTTATTATTTTGAGAGTAAAATATTTTAATAGAATAATTATGATTGATCAACATTTTTAAAAGAAAAATTGGAATGTAAGTTTTCTGAATTTGAAGAATAAAAATATCTGTATCTACTCAAGTATTTTTCCATATCTGTATACTTTGGGTAGACAAGCCAATTGTATTCAGGGTTTTTGTTTTTTGAATCACCAACATCTGCTTTTACCTCTCACTTTTCGTACAGTGATGGAGCCATTACTTTATATATTTTGGATAATTGTCAAACTACACTAGGGAGATTTAATTATTCATAACATTTGTAGTGCAGGAGATAAAAAGTTATCATAAACTGAGCATCATATTTCCTGTGTAACTAACTGGTTATGACCATTTAATATGATTTCCTTTTGCTAGTATTTGCTTTCTGTACTGTAAACTATTTTAATATTGAAGTGGTTTATACATCGGTCTATGGCGAAAATGGAGAAAATGTTAATTTTAAACATAAAGTTGTTTATCCCCGCATGAGTGTGTGAGCGTGCACATGTGTGTATACATTTATGAGGGCATGAGCAGAGGAGGACAAGAGATGGATCTGTCTTATTCTCTTGAGTCAGTGTTTCTTAGGGAACCTGCAGTTCTCAACGTTCGGTAAGCATGAGTGGCCAGCAAGCTCCAGCAGTAATCCTGACTCATCTTCCATCTGTGTTGGGGTTGTAGATACTCTTTCTTGGCTGCACATGCTTTCACACGGGTCTGGGAATCAAAACTCAGGTCCTCGTGCTTACACTGCAAGTGCTGTTATAGCACACTGAGCCATCTCCACAGCCCCTAAAATTGTTTTTTAATGACTGTATTCATAACTATACTATTTAAAACATAGTTGTGAGTGAAACTACAGGATTTGTACATGAGGATATTCCTTTGTCACGAAGAAGAAAGGGTTTAGAAAAATAAATATCAAGTATAACGGCAAACTGAAATTTATTTCATTGTTTTGTTTTTCTTTTGTGTCTTGCATTATGACAAAAGGCAGGCTTTTGAAGACAAATGCAGGAAATGTTACAGCATAAGCACATTTCCCCATTATAGCATTTGTAAATACCTAGCCATGGGTTCTTTTAGTCAAATGTTTGCCGACTTTAAAGAAGCGACAAGTTGAAAAGGAGACCTCAGCTGTCCTCAGTCACATCGTGGGCAGGCAGGAATACAAACGTTTAGTGTTGTATGGCAATGTCTTTTAGAGGTACACAGTTGGAAAGCCCCTCAGAAGTCTTTTTGAGTTGCCATTGGGTATCAAGACATTGTAGAAGCCCAAATCCCTGCAATTAATCATTGCGGTCGGTCTCCCTTTCTACTGGTAACTAGCCACTCTAACCTTTGTTGTTGACGTCACCAAATTCTTCAGGCTTTTTCATACACGCCTCTTGAGAAATTCTGTTCCTTACTGTACATAAATAGTTCCTTCTAGGCTGGTGATATAGCTAAGTTGGAAGGGTGCTAGTCTCGTGTGAGTGAAGTCTGGGCTTGATCCCCAGTACCACATGTAAGGGGCATAGTGGCACTTGTCTGTTAGCCACTTGAGAGGTACAGGCAGAAGGATCAGAAAGTCAAGATCATCCTCATCCTCAAAGCAAGTTCAAGGCCAACATGAGCTACCTCACCTCAAATAACATTAATAAATAATAACAATAACAATTATATTTGGCTTTGTGCTCCAAAGGACATTATTGGATAGCAGCCACATGAATAGGAAGTCCTAGGAGAAGGAAGATTCTTTAGGGAGTTGATTGGGACAATCCATGAAACTTTACCAGCCAGGAAGCATTATCCTGACCACACTGCTGTCCTGTGAACTTGATATCACCACTTCATTAGTGATAGCCCACACTCAACACCAGCCCTGACTCAGACACTGTCCTGAGCACTTTATGTGCATTGCTTTGCTTTTGAGGTGATTCTATTAGTATTCCTGTTTTAAACTCACCAACTCACCTGAGGTCACTCTGTTCTGATTTGCAAGTGAGGATTTAAGCCCCGGTGGTCTAATTTCAGATTCCTCCCCTTGACAGCGCTTTTATATTCATAGTGCCTCCGTAGCGGTTCCAGGGTCATGGAGTTAACGTTTATTCTTTAATGTTTGATTTGAAACTTTGAAAAAATAATATTCAGCTTTAGTTTAAAAAAGTCACAGTTTCTCTACCATTCTGTTCTACCACTTCAAATTTCTTTTCCCTTAAGGCAACTACTGCTAACAACATTTTCAGAGTTCTCGCTCTCTCTTATTTTTTTAAATCGTAAGATTAAAACAAAACACCCGTGGCGTGTCTGCAGTTTCCCCTTCAGCTTTTTGTCTTCTGAAAAGGTAGCCTGTTCCCAGTTGGCAAAAGTTTTAAATACTAATGACTAAGACACAACTATGGCGCACATACATGTTCTTATGTATGCACATGTACAGGAATGTATACTATGTAGAACTTGGGTTGATTCCAAGGGAAAGGTGTGCCACCACGTCCAAGGAAGACTGATTAAAACTCTTAGCTGTGTGGAGATCTAGTTACACAATTTGCTACCTGATGGAAACCTACATTGAATTGAAAACTCCAGGTGGATGAATTTTTCAAGTTCTCGGGGACGGAAATTTTATTTTCTTCACTCTAGAACAAGCATCGCTTCAGAATAAATTTGACAAGGTATGTTTGACTGAGTCATTTTGATGCTTTAGAGAAAAAAAAATGAACAGCAACCGTTGTCAGCTACAGCAATGGGTTTTGATGCAGTGTTCAATGACCAGCTTTCTGGAGTCAGTGTGAGACTTTTGTTTCTAGATTATTTTATGAAGAAAGACACCATTATTTCTAATCAGCAACACACATGCACACACAGACGCAGACACACACACACACACAAACACCTTAGTCAGAATAGCTATACTTTTTGTCATGCACTGGAACATTTTCCTAAAAAGAGAGGTCACCAGAAACACGGAGCAGAGAACTCCCAGCTGGCACCCAGATTTGATTTCCTTTTCAGCAGCTCCTATTCAGCAGATGGATGGGAAGGCTGACCTCTCTGACACTTCTGCATCGCTGCGTGCTACTCCAATTGCCTTGGCGAATGTTTTTTCATAAGGCTTCTCCTGGTACCTCAGAGATTGATGCCTGGCTGCCCGCCTGTGTTATGCTTCATTACGCCGCGATTCTGTGAGCTTGAGAGATGCTGTATTCTATAAAAGGGGAAATCCTAGCTCATCGGAATCTCAAACATATCTTACAGCCTCTCAAGTTGTGTGTAATGTTTTAGAAAATATTATCTTTCTAGGTCTACCTCTAATTCATATCCATTTAAAGCTTACCTTACTCTAGCCTGTGCCATGCCTGGATTAAAAACACTGCAAACGATATTCTAGAAATGTCTGTATGCCACGGTTCCCTACGTACCTGTCAGGCCTCAAAGCCCTGGTAATTTGAATGTAGACATTGCTGAGTTTCTTCTTTCACTGTAGCTTTAGTGGCTGAGAACACACACTGGGGTGGAAGCTTTTCGTTTGCCATTTCTATCACTTTAGGCAAAGCCGTTGCTTTAGGAAAAGCTTGTTTCCTTATTTGTGAGCTAGTGCTGGTATTTGTGCCAGGTATTCAGGACTAATGCGAAAGTTAAACAGGCAGTGGACGCCATGTGTTTTCTCCAGGTCAGGCATATGCTGAGTGTACACTCAAGTGTTTCTTTGAGGTACACGTGATAGTTTTGGGTACCTGTGTGTATTCCACAAGTACAATTCCAAACACGAAGCAGTGTAGTTCAGTTTTATTTGGACTGTAAAGCAAGTAAATTGTTAAGGAAGACGTGCTTTCCTGATCAGATCGATGCATTGCTGGCAAACCTCAGCCCTTTCTGGAGACCCGCACACAATCCATGCAGTTCCTTAGGTGTGAGCTCTGGAAACACTGCGCTCTGCCTTACCCCACATCTCACCATCTAGTTTATATTCCCGTGATGTGGTAAAGGAAAAAAAAACAGCATGACTATCAAGCTGATTCTGGTTTCCAGCAGGCTGACAAAGGCGGTGTGTCACAGAGTCCTCAATGACTCAAAGTTCTGAGAAGTATCGAGTTGCTGTCCTCTCCTGTGCCACAGGTCTCCACACAGCCAGCCTTCAGTGAAGGTTCTAATGCCAGCAGACTTTTGGCTTGGAAGCCAGCACACACTTGGCTCACCTCTCAGCTTGAATCCCTTCTCTTCCTGATGCAGTTCGGATGCACTTTGCTCTTAGGTGCTTAGACTGCCGCTCTGTTGTGAAACTTTGTTCAGGAAGTGACTTTTCCTTTTTCACAGATCTAACATAAGGCCAGACTACGCAGACTCCAATTTCCACGACTTCAAGATGCACACCTTCACTCGGGTGACGTCCTGCAGAGTCTGCCGGATGCTCCTGAGGTGAGCTCTCTCAGGCCCGTCTTCCAGTTTACACCGACTGCTACAGTTGCTGAGTCTTTCCGACTTTCTAGCAATCCACCCAGCAGTGTTCTGAAGTGGAGGTATTCCTTTCCCACTGGCTAGCCTTGGGCCTGTTCTGTTTCCTCGAGACTCCCATTGTGACCCTCTGCCCTGTGTTCATGGCACTTTGGACAGCATCGTGATTTCCTTTTCCTTTTCCTTGCACTAGTTATTATACATTAAAAAAAAAAAACAAAAAACAAACAAACAAACAAAAAACCAAAACCCTTAGCACTTTTTTTTTCTGGGACAGGGTTTTTCTTGAACTTAGCACTTTTTAATACACTGTCCTCAAATTTTACCTTGCAGGGGAACATTTTATCAAGGCTACTTATGCTTTAAGTGCGGAGCAAAAGCACACAAAGAATGTTTGGGAAGAGTAGACAATTGTGGCAGAGTTAATTCTGTTGGTAAGTCATGTTTACCGTGGGGTTCTGTTTCTAATGAGGACATAAAACTTGCTAAATATAATTAAGGCCCAATTTACTCTTAATATGTGTTTATTAGAACATATCTTTTTTTGAATACATCATTAATAAGCACAATTAGAAAACTGTTTAAGTTCTGTGTGACTTTTCTACATGGCTTGGTTTTAAACTATCTCATATTTATTTGACTTTTATTTGTACTTGGAAGCACAGGTCTCCAGGGTACACTTGGATGGTTTCGTGGCACTCTCGTCATTTACCGCTGTATCGCCAAATTATTTGAATACTACCAATACAACTAGTGATAAAACCTAGAGGAAAAACAAAATATTCTTCCATTTTGAGCTCTTAAACTTTCTCTTTCTTCTCTTAAATATTTAGATCAGATTCGTTATTGGTTCCAGAATCAAACATTATACAGACTAATTCAAGAATTCATGAGTTGAATGCATTATCATTTTCCACATTGAACAAAGCATATATCCTTTGGATTTATGTAAACATTTTCTGCTTGGTTGTTAAAAATAGCACTCTGTGCTTGTTGTATGAGCTCTTGCAAATTATGCATTCAGTAGCCTTTGCCTCTCTCTGCTCCTCTAGAGCTGTCTCCTTCTCTTTCTTTTCTGGCCTCTTTCTTCTTTCTCTTTCTTCTTCTCTCTCTTTGTCCTTTTCCCCTGAGTTCCTCTGTGTTTTATCAATAAGACCTTTCAAAATCAGGAAGAGTTTTTGAACACAAGAAAGGATCTTTAACAGCTTGAGTTCAAAAGGTAGCCATGTCAACCTTTGATTTTCCCAGAGGAGAAGGTGGACATTGAATTATTTCGGATAATGTGAAGAAGAGCAGAACAGAGAATATCTTATTTCAGGGCTGAGTTCAGTGAATGGACACTTGTAGCGAGGTGATGCCTTTCCGAGGGCTGAGATCACAGCCCTGTCCCTCTGCTCTTTCAATAGCCACCTTCAGAGGGCCCTGTGTGCCGTTCTCTGTGCTAGGCAAGGACAAGCACGCTGTCAAAGGTGTTGCTGGCCGCTGAGTTCCTCCACTGTGTTAGATACCATCATATCGCACACAAACTCTTTAGTTTTTACAACAGCCCTTCCCATAGCCAGTAGTAAGTTTAAAGGGCCTCTGCTACTTGCTGAAGATGGTTCAGTGAAACAAGGTTACCGTTTTCATTAGTTTGAAGGTCAGAACATTTTACAAAGTGGTGAAACAAACAATAACATTAGGTGTTGTAGCTGTAACTCTTCAACTATCAACCCGGAAACCACATGAAGTTTTATTGTTTCATCCTTACCCATCTCACTCTTCAGTGAACACGGTCTTTCCTTATGATGGGCTAGAGTGCTTTCAGAAGCTCCATAGTTTTAGATTTGAGTGTCCTGAATTACTTGGGGAGGGACAGGCGTTCTTAGGGGCCACACCTGTCCTCTCTATGTAAGTCCTTCGAACTAGGACTTAGATGCCTTCTGATCCAGAAACACTTATATTAAAGTGAGTAAACAGGCTCAGAAACAGTTGAAAATAAGGCAACTGAAGATAAGAATGCAGCTGCCTTGCAGGTCACAGATAGTGAGATATTTAGATACCATCCACTATGAAGTAGCAGCATTCTTTGAACTATTTTGTAATTTCCTTAAAGCTGGGAAAAGTTGCCTTTTTTTCCTATAGAACCCTGAGTCTCTCATGCTGATCCCCATTTTTCCCCATTTTCCACATCCGTGACTTTCTCTTCTTTTTCTTCCTGCTTCACACTTTGAAAAGATGAGTGAGTGACATTGAATTCTCATAGTTAATTAGGAGAATGCAATGTCAAGCATTGGCCTAGCAGACTTCTCTTCTCCTTCAGACCAGGTTTTCTTTTCTTTTTTTTTTTTTAATTTTTAAAATTTATTATAATTTATTCACTTTGTATCTTGGCTGTAGCCCCCTCTATCATCTCCTGCCAATCCTACCCTCCGTACCTCTTCTTCCTCTATGCTCCTTCCCCAGTCCACTGATAAGGGAGGTCCTCTTTCCCTACTACCTGACCCTAGCCTATCAGGTTTCATCAGGACTGTCTGCACCCTCTTCCTCTCTGGCCTGGCAAGGCTGCACCCCCGAGGGAGAAGTGAGCAAAGAGCCTGCCACTGAGGTCATGTCAGAGACAGTCCCTGTGCCCCTACTAGGGAACCCACTTGTAGCCTGTGGGCTACATCTGAGCAGGGGGTCTAGGTCCTCTCCATGCATCTTCCTTGGTTGGCAGGTTGGCACATTAGTCTCCGCATGCCTCCCTGGGCAGAGATTTTTATGGCTCTGCTGGTCTCTTTGCGGAGTTCCTGTCCCCTCTAGGTCTTTTTGTCTCCCCCTTCTTCCATAAGATTCCCTGAATACTGTCTAAAACTCAAGTGACAACACATGCTGGAGAAGATGTGGAGAAAGGGGAACCCTCCTCCATTGTTGGTGGGAAAATAAACTTGTACAACCACTTTGGAAATCAATCTGGCACTTTCTCAGAATATTAGGAATAGTGCTGCCTCAAGATCCAGATCCAGCATTCCTAGGCATATATCTGAAAGATGCTCAACCATACAGTAAGGACATCTGCTCAACTGTGTTCATAGCAGCTTTATTCATATTAGCCCGAATCTGGAAACAATTTAGATATCTCTCAATGGAGGAATGTATTCAGAAATTGTGTATACATTTACACAATGGAATACTACTCAGCAATTAAAAACAAGGAAATCATGAAATTTGCAGGCAAATGGATGGAACTAGGAAAGATCATCCTGAGTCAGACCAGGCTTTGTAACTTAGAGGCCTCATCTTCAGGATGAAGCGGCTCTACGTGATCACTGCGCCGGCACCTTTCTCCCCTGTCCCTCAGAAGGTGCCCCTGAAAACTGGAAGACATCACTTGCAAGCATCCTTGGACTAGTGCAGGCAGCCACTGTGGATAGAGTATTAATCTGAGAGTGGTAGATCTGCCTGTGAGTGTGATAGAACAGATACTCCGTTGGGGTTACAGGCAAGCTTCTGTGTTCTCTTCTCTGGCCTGCTGAGAATCCCTGAATGTCATGGTTGGCATTGAGGATTCATTGCTTAAAGAGGGATAGCAATTCATTTACCCTAACTTCTGCAGTATCCGGGGCAACACGAGCTCAAGGAAGGGAGAAGCAAGCACAAGATGCATTTGGTGGTAGAGGCATGTTTTACTGGAGTAGGAGCTTTGTATGGAGGGGAGTGTGTTGCTTGGTGAACTTGACACTGAGGAAAATTACCCTAGTAGGCAAACTTAAAAAAGTCAGTAGTGTTGATTTAAGGCGAAGTTAAACGAGTTAAATAGTCATTTCCCATATAACATAAATCATGGCTCAAGGCCCATTCTTACTTTGTAGAGGTTTCTAGTTGGAAAGCTTAACCCAGTCTACGTGCATTCTCAAGCAGAGAGGGAAGTTGTGGCTGGCTATTGTGAGTCAGGGATACATTTAGAGTTTAAGGGGCAGGGACTAATGTGGGTGCTGACACTGTAATAAACCATAGACAGCTGGGAAAGGGGAACATCATGTTTTTATTTGTATCTGCCATTTTCACAGAAGGAGCGGGGAGGCGAGGCAGACCGGGGTCTACCGAAGGCTAGAGAATCCTCCCTACTCTGCTGCCCTGGCCATATCCTCTTTGCACCCTCTGGCCATCTCAGCACAGGCCTTGCCTCTCTCACCTTTTCCCTATTAGAAATGGCTGGCAGGTCTCCTTGATACTCTCTTTCATGCCCTGTTATCCCACAGGCCACCTTTGAAGATCGGGCTTATTTCTTTCACATACATTGCAGCCCGCATCTCATGAAGATTAATCTTGGCTCCATCTGCATCTAACATCTTTTCTGAACTCTGGATTTAAGGCCTTCATCTTCAGCTCCCATATCACCTACCAGTTGCCCTCATAACCTCCAGTACCTAGTATAAAGCCATTTTCCTTATCCCAAAATGTGATTTTTTTTTAACTTTTTGTAAGTCTGATGACCCATCTCTCTCTTTACTCACCTATTTTTTTCTCCTATCTTGTTTAGAATCTTCTGCTACAGTATTGATTTACATGGAAATTTCACTGTCTTTATTTTTCTGTTTAATTTCATCTTATTTATTATATAGACTTTCCTAACTGATCTTTCAAGATCTTTTAAAATGCATTGTTTTGAAATCCATTAAGATCCACTGTGTCACTCACTCACCTTCGCTTCTGTTTCCTACAGAATCCTGTTCAGGCTTTCCCCCAGCAGCACATATAGTTCTGGTGGTTTTTCTAGCCCTCTTTTGTCCATCCCTTAAGCTTCCCAACTGACACTGAATTTCTGTCTATTCATAGTTCTTCCACTAGTTTTCTCATGGGTCCTCTTCGTTTCTCTTTTAGTCTTTTCTTCCTTATTCTATTCAGTTTTGAAAACTTAGTGGAAATATTACTTCGCTTGGAAGACTTTCTGGTACTCTGCATGCCTGGCCTTTCTTGGTCTATCAGTTGTCTGTGTTTTCCTGGCACTGTGTAATTAACTTTATCATAGCATTTATCACATTTATTATAATGGCCATCTGGCTGGTCGCTCTAATTAGACTCAACCATATGCAGTTGGTGTTTTGACCTCAGGGAAGACGTGGGGTATAGATGTGTGGATGGATAACCAACCAGGGTGACAGACAGATGACGGAGTCAGGGTCCTGAGCCCTGGATATCACTATCATCTCAAATCTCCAAACAATAGGTATGGGAGTTTATGCAGGCTTGGGTTCCATGCGTGTGGAGGCAAGAGCTTGATAAGATGGTTTCACAAATGAAATTAAAAAACAAACAGAAACCCTTATTCTGTGAATCACTGGGTTGTACTTTAAGTAGACATTTTACATTCCTTTCTGGGTAGTTACGCAAGGACAGATTTATGCCCTAAGCAATTGATTACCAGGCAGTACCCCTGGGGTAGGTTAATGAGCAACAAGAAAATGAACCA